ACAAAATGAGCAAAATCAACCCATGACAGAAAACAAAGAGTTTCCTGACAAAATCTTAAATTTAGCTCTCTATATTAAACAATGTTCCTTTATTTTCCCCAGACAATAAGGTTGCTTACAGTAAACACAGTCAATATTAAAACCTTCAGAACTTATTCCTACATTGCAGCAAACCTCAAATTAACTAACGGGAGTGTGTGTGTGGGGGGAATCTCTTTGGTGGTTTTTCTCCTGTGTGTTTTCTTGGCAGGAAGGGAGAGAGGGATCGTGTGGGGCTTTTTAAAGGGAAAATACTTCAGGTTCTTGAACTTGGTTATTTATTCTTCAGGCTGATTTGGACTGCAAGTGCAACCCAAATAACTCATCTAATGCACAACAGCATAGAGAGTCTCAAGGGTTGTTCAGCAGTGATCTCCAAAAAAGTTAAACATTGATGGGCTCTGAGCAAGTCTAGTTAAAGCTGTTGGCAGTTCGATTGCTATGGGGCAATGAGAGGAGCTGGCAGCAGGGAAGGAGAAGCCAGGTAAGGCCATAGAGTGTTCTTTGTACACAGTACAAAAGGTGACAAGCAGGTTTAGACAACTTAAAAATAGCTTTTAACCTAAAAACCTGTAAAAACACAGGTTACTTAACCTTACACCTTCATCTTTCAAACGTTACAGAACATATTTTTTTGGTTGCCAAGTTTGCTGAGTTTCACCTTTGACCATATAAATTTATGTTTTTTTGCGCACTTAGCTGTCATCAATACCAATAACCATGGATTAAACCACATGCTAAACCACCCTTTTAAAAAAGTTTTAATGGTTAATTAATAGCATCAATTTAAGATGTGTCTAACTTTGCATATGCAAAAACAAGCTGTCAGAAAACAGACCTGTGAAACCTTTCAGTTTCCCCAAGTTCCAGCACAAACTGAGGCAAGTATTTTCTGCAATGCTCTCGGGGACTGATAAGGAGCCTAAAGAAAGTGAAATCCAGTTTTCTTCATTATCTAGACTAGAAATGGAAATAGTGTATAACTAATGAGAAGTAAACTAATTTTTCAAATCACTTCACCTCTAACAACCCATGACAGTAGCAATATCTGCTCACAAGGTGTTGAAGTTTACAGCAACCTCTGTAGTTTTGACAATCATTGAGCTGTTCCAACATAATTTCTAACTATGGGCTTGCTGTATACACTGCTATTTCCCTTCCCAACATTGAACCCATCTCAATTCATTCAAGAACTCCATTAGTTTTAGAAAAATAGGAACTGATGAAAACTGCTGTAAGGGAGTTGATAAAAGCTAAATGACTGGAGAAATTACGCAAGGAAAAAAAGGCAACTAATTTCTTACACAATTAAAGAGTTTAATTAGATTATTTATTTAAGTGAATAGAGAGCTTTACAATAGATCTAACTCCTGTTAAGTTTCAAGCAATACAGGAGTAGATATCAGTCAGAGTACTAAAATTAGATCACTCTCATATTTGATCAGAAAACATAAGCTCAGTTATGTCAGCAACTTGGTAAGCAGCAATATCGAAAACTCAGCTGTGATTTATTACTTCACATCCAGTAAGGAGAAATGTAAAATTTCTGATCTGTGAGAGAGGTTTATCCATCATACCAAAATGCTACTCAGCACTTCCTGAATAAAGACACTGCAAAAATGTCTTCTCCAGCAGAGATTGTTAGTGGTAGCAATGACAACAGTCTGCAAACATGAGGTCTCAGATACAGCTGCATGCACAAGCCCTTGAGAGACTCTCAACTGTAAGCTAACTGAGACACATGAGAATGTTTGCTGTGTTTTGACAACAAAAAAAGTTAAAACCAGAATCAAATGCTGTTCCTGCCCCTAAAGCTTTATGTTGATGTTTGTGGTTTTCTAATGGCTTTTTTCCTGTGAAGGGATGCTTCCATACTGCAACTGTAAAATTAACCTGAAAAAAGCTGATGACAGCTACATGTAAGGGTGCAGGTGGAAGCATGTTCTTCCAAAAGCTGGGTAAAAGGGATGGAAGGGATGGAAGCATGTTCCTCTCCTCCATGGATGTCTGCTCTTCAACTGACCTGCATTTTTCCTCTCATTTAATTCCTCTAGGGCCACTTCTACCACGGCAGTAACAAATATCCATAGGATCAGATCCCTCACATTCACATGGGATTGGCAAAGTACACTGGGATTTTGTTCAAGGAAATGCCAGGACATGCAAGCTTGCAAGTTTGCAGAGCAGCTTTCTCACCTGCTTACCCCTTACAGCCAAGCTACCATGTGGCCACGCAAAGGCAGGAGAGCAAGGAGACCAAGGTCAAGCCTAGCAGTGCTCAAGGTAGCATGGGTGACAGATGATAGATAAATAGTGAGAAACCATGCACGGGAGGAGGCTTTGATCCCCTCAAAAGCAAGCTAAACTGACAACTATTAAAGAAAAACAACTACCGGCTGCAGGACTTCAAGTTCTGCCATGTCACACCCATTTCCCACCTCCCCCTGTATTTCAACTGTAAATTCTCTGATAAGGAAACTGCTTCTTCCTTTGCATTTTCAAAGTTCATGCTGGCTATTGCTGTAGGCTGGAGAATATCAAGAATGCTGTCAAGTACAGACTGCAGGAATAAGGACATGTTCCAGTTATTTCACTGTGAAAATTAGAGCAGTCTCACAGACAACTCCTAAAACTTGCTTACAAACTACTTTTGGAACAAAACCAACTTCTTAAATACATATTCCTTTAACCTCATAATTGAAACTGCAGCCGAATTTCCCAAGAGCTTTTCCTTCTCAACTGAGAGCTACATACCTCTCAGATTTCTGGGATGTATCTGCTTTGTCCGAGGCATTTTCCTCTAATCTCATGCACCACTTTCTCCTCTCAGAAACGGAAAGTACAGCAAGCAGAGAGATGGCAGCTCCATAAACTTGTCAAGGGGCTCAGTTAATCCGTATGCTAAAAAAACAGAGAGAAAGTTATGAGATGTAGGCATCAATAAGAAAAACAAAGATACCTATCAGATCCCTTTCATCCTCAAATGACTATGGAAATTAGCAAGAAATATTTCTGCACCTATGATTTGCTAAGGAAACTTTCCTGTCTGACAGCCCAGGAGCCACCCTGGCAGCCACACTCCGACCACCAGTTACACTGCTGGGACCGAATTCTCTCCACAGCAGGCTTGACTCCCTCCACTCTCACACAGACAATATTTCCTTGCCGGCTCAACCCACGTCTCCCACAGCAGAGTCACAGACCCCTGGTCCCTTAAAGTAATTTTTTCACGGTGCAAGAACAGAGTAACAGCCCAAGCTGGTGCCTCAGAGGAGGGATCCTCAAGGAACCCCCAGGCTGTTGCACCCTCCCAGTCTTATGCGTGCCAGAGTTGGGGTCTTCCAGCTGAGTCCTGGGTCCCTGCTGTGTCCCTGTCCCCTGGCAGGGCCGCATATCCTCGTGCCCTTTGTTGTGCAAAGCGTCGGCACCACTTCCCGGCCTCTTGCCCCGGGCTCCCGCCACCCAGAGCTCAACCTGCAGCTCCCGGTGTGGCCGCACAACCTGCACTGAACGGATTCCTCAACAGGTTTTATGGAGCCAAGCGTTCCAGTACCTTAGGAAAACCACGTGAGGCTGAAACTCCTTTTAGGATTACTCAGGAAGCATGAGAAAACGAAAACACTTTTCCACATTTGTCAGCTGTTTTCTAGCCAGAAAACATCTTCCAACAACCCTCGTCTCATGCAAATAAATCCAAAAAATTAAAACAAAAAATTTGGCGTCTGGCTTTCAGATACACATCTTCAACTTCGGGTGGGGGAAGTACAGAGGGGAGAGCAAACACACAAAGCATCATCCTATTTGTAACATTACCTACAGAATCCTTACATGCAGCATGTAAGTTTGGAAGAATTCCCCATGGGACAGTTCGGCGGAAATATCAGTGTACAGGCGAAAATCACACTAGCTCTTGACCTACCTGCACTTTCTTACTTTTCAAACACTCTTAGGAATTGCTAACAGTTCCATGAGTGTTTTGTTCAGTTTCTGATACAGGATGTGAAATCTCTCAAAGACTTATGGAAAACTACTTACACACAAGAACTTAAAGAAAATTACTGGTGTAATTACACTCTTCCATCTAAACAAAATTTAAAAATAACAAGTTTCTGCTTCTTTTTATAGCAATTCTACTTCATGTTAACAGATTTTTCCTTTTAGTAAACACTAGGAAGAATTCTTCAAAAACTGCATGAACTTTGAAATAGCCCCTAATATAGGCAAATTGATTAAGGACAGCTGTTTGAAGGAGGAAGGATGTAGAATTTTTAGCATTTTTTGTAAGTATTAATTTAGGGGCACTTATACTGTTTTTCAAGGCAACCATGTTTCTGAGGAAATTTAATTCAAACCCAATTAAAATAGACTATTTGCAACCACCCCTTCAGTCTACATACTGTCGAGGAATACAATCATTAATTTTTAATGTTTCTTTTGTCTGTTGCTGCATAAAAAGACCCGAACAGGAGAAAAAAAAATACTGCAACTGACACACAGGAAAGCTGGAAAATGTTATTCTGACTAAATGATTCTTCACTAGGGTATTATCGCACGTTGAAGCAAAAAGACGGAAAAAATCTGAAACAGAGCACAGTGCCTGTCAAGCTGTTAACTCATACCAGTTTATCTGCAAGCATAACAGAAATATTTAGAAATTAAATAAAAATTTACGCTAACAGGTCCATTTTCCAGGTCTTAGGCACGAACTAGAAATGGAGAAAAGTGGCTGGATGGCTTAAAGCGACCAGCACTCCCTGAGCCCCAGTCCCCCCCCTCTCCTCTGGCTTGACTGGGAAAGTCCCTAGGGCTGGGCTGAGGTTTTTAAAGACGCTAATAAACACCGTCACTTCTTAACACAAGTTATTTGGAGCGAGAGTTTGAAAAACCCCGGCGTCTCCGTAAATCGGGAGCCCCTTCCCGACGCTTCCCTGCAGCACAAACGACATCCTACTGACGCTTTAATGCCACCAAGCTTCCCGCTCGCCAGCAGGACCCTCTCCTTCGGGGAGGAGATGGCCGTGTGAGAGCCACGGCGGAAACACCGGGCAGGACCCACGCCAAAAGTCATTCCCTCCCTCGCTCGAACAAGGGGAGGAAAAAAAAAAAAAAAAAAAAAAAAGGAAGAGGGAGAGGGAGAAACGGGCCTTTGCGATCGCAGAGGTCACATCCCCCCGTACCCACCCAAAAATGGGGGAGCGGGGCGGGAGGCAGCCCGCCGTGGGGCCCGAGGAGCCGCGGGTATGTGCGAGCGGGATTGCGAGGGGAAGGGAAGGGGAAGGGAGGGAGGCAAAAAATCCATGAATGAATAAAGAGGGAGGAGCCTGGGAAAACCCCTCTGCAACGCCGCACCGAACAAAGCGCTGCACACATGCCGCGGGGGGGTGGGGGGGAAGGGGGAGAGAGGGACGGGGGGCGGCCGCGGCCCGGCACCCAGCGGGGACGGCGGCGGGGCCGAGAGGAGCCGGGCCGGGGCTCCGCGCCTCTCAGTGTCCCCGAAACCCCGGCTGCAGACCCGGGGCGGAGTGGGGGGGACGGCCGGACAAACCCACCGGGAGCCGGGGCGCACCGGCACCCCCGGGGGCAGCGCGGGCGGGCGGGCGCAGCCGGAGCGCGGAGTCCCCGCGCGTCCCGGAGGGGCCGCGGCGGAGCGCGGTGGGTTGAGGGGGGCATCGGGGCCTGCGGTCCTCCCCGTCCCCGCCCGCTCCACCCCCCCGCCGCCGGCGGAGGACACATTGTGTTGTGGCTGCCGCAGCTCCACGCCGAGGGGGGCGGCGGGGGGCGGCCGTCCCGCCCCGCACCCTCGTCCCCGCAGCGCCTCCCGAGCCCCCTCCCGCCCCCCGCGGGGCCCGCTGCAAACCTGGCGGAGGGGCCGGCGCGGCGGCTGGAGAAAGAGCGGGGGGAGCGGGGGGGCCGGGAGCCTCCTTCACTTGACAACCTCAAACACAAACATGACCCAGCGCCGCCGCCACAGCCGCCACCGCGCCCGCACACACACACGCACACACAGAGCCCGGCAGCGGCACCCACCCCTCCTCCATGCACCGTCCCCCCGGGCCGGCCAAGGCGCCGCCCCCCGGCACGGCCCCGCTCCGCAGCCCCCCGGCCCCCGGCCGCGCCCGCCCCCCGCGGCAGCAGACCCCTCCTCCGGGAGCCCCATCCCCCACGTCCCACTCGGGAGCCCCCATCGCGGCCCTGCCCCTCGGCCGTGGGGCGGTGGATGGAAGGAGGGAGGACGGGCGGGCTCGGCGCATCCGCCGGGGTCCCCTCGGGGAGAGCCGCGTTCCCCGCCGGGCCCGCCCCGCCCCTCCCCCCGGCGCCCCGGTCACCGTCGGGGGGAGCGCGGGGGGCGGGGGGTGTTTTACCTTCTCTCACTTTCTATTGCAGGAAGCGCGGCCGGAGCAGTGACGTCACCGGGTCTCCCGGTCCCGCCCCCTCCCCGGGTCGGGGGAGGGGTCACCGAGGGGGTTTCCTCGCGGCCCGGTGGGGGAGGCACGGCCGGCGCGCCGGGGGCCGCTTCTGCCCCGCCGCCTCCTCCTCCTCCTCTTCTTTCTCCTCCTCCTCCTTCTCACCGGAGGGACTGCCCGGCCGCCGCCGCCCCGGCCCCTGCTGCTGCCCCGAGGTGGGGGGGCACCTCGCCGCCGCGGTTCCCGGGGGTCTCCTCAAGGGGGGGTCCCCGCTCGGCACGGCACGAGGCAGCGCCTCCCCCCGACGGCCGGAGCCGCCGCCGCCGCCGCTCGGGGCGCTGCGCGGTGCGCGTCGCGCTCCCCCCTGGCAGGGCCCGGCCCCCGGGGCACCGGCACGGCCGGGCGCGCACACACACACACGGACGGACACGCAGAGAGACGGGGCTGACGCGGAGATCCCGGAGGTTCCTCCCTGCCGCCCGCCCGGACGGGCTTCCCCGCGCCCCCGCCCGCCCGGCCCGCCGCGCCCCGGCGCCGCCGGGGAAACTCACCGCCGCGCCGCGCATCCCGCCGCGGCTACAACTTTCCATCCCGGGCGGCAGCCGGCGGCGGCAGCGAGCCCCTCCGCCGCTGGAAGTGGGCGGGGGAGGAAATACGAGGAGGAGGCGCGTCGTGCTCTCCGCCGCGGCGCCCCTTTTTTGGCCCGGGACGCGGGTTTCGCCGGTGGGGGCTGTGCTGCCGCGGTTGGTTTCCTGCATCAGCTGCGGGGGTGTGTGTGCACAGCACACACGTGTGTCTGTGTGTGTGCACAGCACACACGTGTGTCTGTGTGTGTGCACAGCACACACGTGTGTCTGTGTGTGTGTGCGCTCTCCGTGCCGGGTCACCCTGCCCGGCCAAGGGCTGCCCGCGCTTCTCCCCCGCCACAGGCAGGGGACCGCTGAGTCGCCCTCCAAAAGGCGAGGGGGCCCGGGCTGGGCTTTGGGTACTGAGGAGGGGAATTTGGCGTTTCTTTTTTTTTTTTTTTTTTTTTTTTTTTTTTCCCACCCAAACTCCCCGACAAAGCAGCAGTGTTGGCAGCTTTTCATTGCCACTCGGGTTTTCAATCGAGTTTTGCTTTTGAAGGCAGTATGTGATGTCTTTAGCAAACAAACCCAAATAAATACTTCTTGCATCACCTCCGTGTTCTCCCTGCTCCCGTGCCTGCACACCCCTGGCAGTCTGTGTGCTCAGCTGTAAGCACCTTGGCCCTGCTACGTCCTTCCCTTTGGAGTTCAGTATCCAGACCAGATCCTGCCTTAAGCAAACAGGACCACCATTCTCAGAGTTCTCAAGGTTTTTACAGGGAGTTCTTTCAACCTACATTTAATCATGTTTGTTAGACAGATGAGTATTTTAATTCCCGTTTCACAGGGGAGAAACCAAGGCAGGAAGATGCAGAGTAGATCACTGCATAGCTGTGGACTGACATGACACCACTTCTGCCTGAGCTTTTGGCCACAGGCGCTGTCTCTGGGCTATTTTTCCTCTTGAGTTCACTTAAATTATACCTTGAGAACACTTCCAGCTTACAGTGGTGGCAGGTTCTCTGCTGTGGGTAACCTGTCCTGTGTCCTGCCCAGAGGCAACACGGGAGGCAAATGTAAGTGAAATCCCTGGCTAGTTTGCAACTGGTGGTTAGGGCAAGAGATAGTATTCATCACTGAACTGGAGATTTTTGGAAAAATCAGACCCTCAAAGAGTAACTTCAGGAGAAATGTGTTCTGCTACTCCTATTGGACAAGCAAGTGATGATTCTTTATTGTTAGAGACAGTTCTCATCTTCTCCTTAGTCTGTCGTCCCCCCCGCCCGCCTTGTTCTTTCTTTGTCTGGCTTTTAGACTTGAGACTCTGACGTGCTAAAGAACAGAGCTGCTGTTATCCTAAACACATCAGCATGAATATGATCCTACAGCTGCCATAAGCTTAAATTAGTGTTCCAAGTCTGACCAGTCACAAACCCAGGACCATGCAACCTCTGAAGCTAGGTCTGAACCTCTACTTGTTCTGCTCAGCTGTCCCTTAAAGTCTGTCCTGCAGGCCTCTGGGACACATAGCATCTATATCCTTCTTTGCTACTCATTGTCTGAAAGCCTCAGATTGTGATCACCAGAGTTATCAGGGAGAAAGCATCAGATACTGGCCCTTCCTCACAAGATGCCTTAGGAAGAAGGAGCCATCACAGCTGCTGCTGGTGCCAAAGGGAGTTCTAGGTCACTCGTCTTTTCACAAGGACCTGGGTAAGTTCAAAATAGATGCTCCAGCCTGCAAGCTGAAACGAGACCATAGCAAACCCCCTGCAGCCAGCAGGGAAAGTTTCTTCTGTGAGAAGTAGTCAAACTGCCTCCCACCACCCATCAGTGAAAATCCAGCTCTCTCAGCACACCTATGTGCATAGGAATATAATAAGTGCCCTTCCTCTGCAGACAAGCACAACTTTTAACAAGAAAGACTCAATGAGGTGTCAAAGAGGAGACAGGTCCTCAGGGATGTGTGTCATATGGTGGCAGCTGGTCCTCCCTTGAACATAAAACCAGTCATCGCAAAGTCAGTTTGGGTCAGAGGGCAAAACCAAGAACTGAAAGTCTGGCCCCTTGGGATTATTTCCACGGCCATCTGAAAAAGCAGCCAAAGAGGCAGCTGTGAGCTGGGGACTCTCCTCAGCCTGTTCCCCTCCAGCGAGCACAACTCAGGGCCGAAGGGCTGCCTTGAGCCCAGCTCAGTGTGGTTCCAGCAGGCTGCCCCCTGGCCAGGTAAAGAATGCAATCCTAAGGGCTTTGAAAAGGCAGCATACCAAGCTGGTTATCCCGGGCAGACCACTTCATCTTTTTCTGTCTGTTTTCCCATCAGTAAAAAGGAAGTGCTTACCCACTCAGTAAAGTACTTTGGGAAGATTGCTAGTAGGAGGCACAGAGTAATCTTCTCAAACCTGCAAATGAGGGAAATTCTTTAAAACTTTTCAGTGAGATTTAAAATGCCACATCAATATGCACATAGGGGAAAAAAAAAAAAAAACCACACCACCTTCATTGCAGAATTTAGATACTTTTAAAATTTCACCTAAAAGGAGAAATTATTTCTGCAGGATATAGATCCTCTTTAAATGACTATGTGTATGGCTGAACAGGGAAGATTATTGAGGTTTTCTTCTCTCTAAAACTCCACTGTATTTTTAGGAGGACACCTATTTTTAAACATCCTCTAGTTTTACTCTTGAAACCTCTTTCAGAAACTGGTTTTCTGTAATGGCTCACAGGTATTTTATGTATAAATATATACACATACACGCATTAGGCTCTCAAGAAACCACGATACATTAGGTAGTCTTGAATAATTCATTGTTAAGCACCCCATGATAAATCTCTAGTTGAACAGTATGTGATTTTGATAGAATTCTTGGGATAAATTGAATGTGAAGCACTGTGGTAAATTTAACTATGCTGAGCATCAAATGTGAAAACTTTACATTGTACATTACATCCTGACATGCAACTGAGAATCATTATTATTAAGGCTTCGGGGAATTTTCGAGGGAACTTCTGAAGTTCTGAAAAGAAAAAGAACAAGACTGAGTGCTGTTCTCTATAGAAGTTGAGATTTTCTCAGAGAAGGGAAATTCCATAAGTAGTCTGTATTGAATTAACATAAAGGTTTCACTAAAAGAACTGCTGTCTATTAGCTTATGCTCTGAGGCTTCTCGTTGAGTACTACATATAAAAGTCAGAGGATCCTGGCTTACCTGGTACCAGCGGGTTCTTAGAGCTTTTCTAGGGCTTGCCACTCCTGCAGCGGGGCTGGAGAGATAGGGCAGCAACCGCTGATGTGTGGGGGAGGTCATTTTCCCCTTTTCTGTAGCAGTAGCTGTCACCCCAGATACTCACAGCTCTCCCTTGTCAGCAACAGCCAGACGCTTTCCTGGAGGTAGGCAAAGGCAGCAGCACAGGGACCTGGTCGTGCACCACTCCTCACAGCCTGTAGCTCCACACAAGAAGCTGGTCTTTGCTGGGACATTTTGCATGGCAATATCCTTCATCTCCACCCTTTTCAGGATGTCCTGAAGATGTGTTGTTTTTCATTGTCCCATAAATTGGCTCAGTTCTTTCTGATTTGGAGAAATTGGCATTAAATAATGCAAACAGTTCCATTGAAGAATTTTGGCACAACCTTTCTTTTTAGTTATGCATATACACTGCAGCTCTGTGTGGTGGTACCTGGTACCTGGTAGTCCTGTGGTCAGGAAAAGGTACAAATCTGTCCAGCTTCAGGTTAATCATGTGATATAGGGCACAGTTCACTGACACAGCTTCACCTTTTTTCCAGTTATTATTAACCAAACATTTCAATGAACTTCAACATCATTGGTACCATATCTACTTATTTATATCATGTTCATCTTAATGATATCAGAGCATCTCAGACAAGAATACCTGTGTTTAAGAGGCCATGTTATAATCTCTTTTGGTGACTTTTTGTCCTTCACCCTCTTCGGAAGAGTCCCAGCTGCTGGGGTGCTTCCCCAAGGGTAATCACAGGACAGCTCATGGAGGCAGGGGAAGAAATCCTACTTTAACCCTACTTTTACCACCACCACCACAGCCCGACATCAGCCTTCTTTCCTCCCAGCACATGAGGCCTCATGTGGCTGGTCACAGGACAGAGATCAGACAAGAGACCAGCCACAGAGCAAAGCAGCCAATGAGAAGAATTCCTTCTGACAGAGTCCCTGTGAGGTGTCCTTCGGCACTGCAAGCATGGTGACACCAGTGCCGAGCCCACACCTCATGCAGCATCCTCCCTGCTGAGACACCTGATGAGGCCAGGAGACAGGGAGTCACCCTCAGGATTTTTCCAGGCTGGACCCACTCCCTGTCTGGCCAAACCATTTATGACGGCATGCCAAAGTCTAAGGAAAAAACCAAAAAATAATTAAAATTGTGCTGGTTAAACCACTGTTTCCTTTTTGTCCAAGTGGAAGTCCCAGTGGCAGGTAGATGGTGTGGCCCTGCTGCTGACCTGCTCTTAGCAAGATAAGGAGCAGGCTGGACCACTGGCATGCTGTGAATGCCTGGTACTCAGTACATCCAGCAGAGTTTTGTGGGATGTGACATTAAGCACTTCTAGGAGGGGGATAATTGCCACACAGAATTATGAGATCTGGAATAGAGGATTTGGGAGAAGGCAAAGGCTCATCTGAAGTGCATGGTATGAGGCCATTTGGGTTATATTAAAGGGCTGAGCCAGCGCAGACTCCCCACCTCCTCCCAGAGATGGAGCTCACCCAAGGCCCTGAGCAGTCTTGTGTCCAAACATGAGGCAAGTTTGAGCTTGGGCTGGTGCTCTGAAGTTAGCATAGATGTACCCATGAGAAGCAAGTCCCAGAGCTTTTGGCTTTACACTGAAAATTGTTTCTGTCTTTTCACAAAGAGCTGCTTCTCTATAGGTCAGCAGGCTCTGCACTTTCACAGCCCTTGTACTCCCTTCCACTCTGGTATTTTTTCTTCTGAGCTAGACAGGTTTCTGAACTTTTTCATGAAGTTGCTCATATTTTCCACTGCATTTCCTTTTTACCTCACCCCACCAGTTCATTCTGATCTTTCTTTCTCAGTAGCTCTAGGTTCTGAACTGTTCATTTAAATATGGTGTGGCTTGCCAGCATTTTTTCCCAAGCCTTTTATTTTATCAGTTAAAGAAACAGAAGACACAT